ATATATATATGTGTGTGTGTGTGTGTGTGTGTGTGTGTGTGTGTGTGTGTGTGTGTGTAAAAAAATCTTATTTCAAAATGTTTATATATTAAAATAATGATAAATCGCAGATGAGGTGCTATATTGAGTTGTTCATAGACTGACAGACGGCCGGACGGATGTTATGAAAAGAGTGGTGCAACACAATGGCACATACTCTCTCGTAGTGAAGTTTTCTAATTTCCGTGGTGTGGACTGGCTTGACGGGCTGGTCCCATCCTCTCGCCAGATGACATCTGGCACCACCCAAGGGACATTTTCTTCATTTTTCGGTTTTGTAACAGTAGCACCGAAATATTACTGTAAGAATATTCACGCAAAGTAAATTGCAATTTGCACTGCAACATTTGGAGAGGTTTTTTTTTATAGAATGGAGTTTAACGTTACTGTAAAATGATAAATTTAAAGCTCTTTTTCACAGAATACGAGAGTTTCGAAAAACTTCATTACAATTCATTTATTGCACCTTAACTCATAAATGCAATAGTGTACATAAATAGCTGGAAATAAGCATATTAACGGCGTAAGAGATATTTAAAACAATACATTCGTGATATTAAAAAAAACAACGAAATAATACTCCAAAGTGAATTTTATGTCATTTAAAATAGTACAAATAGCACCACTCGTTGGTAAAGTGAAGAAAAAAGTTGGAACCATTTTTGAGAAAATGGCGTTTGAGCGTTTCTGAAAATGCGGATTTTAGCTTACTTTCACAGAAAACTGTGAAGTTTTTGAGAAACCGTATATGACATTATTTAAAGCACATGTACTCATAAATCCAATAATGTGAACAAATTGCCGCTAATGTAAATATTAACAACGTGCAAGACGAATCCAAAAATTATTTTTTTTTAATTTGTGAAGAAAACAACAAATGGATAGAGCAATATGGAGTTTATGTCATCTTATAGAGTGCATTTAGCTCTACCCCTACCAAAAGTTTAATGAAAAAAATCGTAGCTGTTTTTGAGAAATTCTTGATTTTGTAACTTTTTAAAATTGCACAGATTATTCATTTCTATTCTCACATATATCTTCAATTTCGTAGTCGTAGGAAAACGCCCGAAAAGTTTCAAACTTTCAAATTTTCGAAAATTTAGAGTTAAGCTTGAAAATTGGACAGAACTCACGTTTATAAGTGTATTTTACGATATTTTTTACAAGAAATTTGAGGGAAAAAATTCGAGCCGTTTTTGAGAAAATTTAAGACGGCGTGTAAGTAACCCCAAATTTTGAAGAAAGTTTCTGAAAATTGCAGGTCTCGAGTTGAGCCAGATCGACCAGTGAATATCCATTTTGGAAAAAATCCTACTTTGGTTTAGGCGCTAGTGGTGTTCACAGACGGACAGACAGACGGATAGACGGACTGATGTTTAAGAAATATTTTTTTCGGTATCAGGGGACCCCAAAAAGTGTATTTCTGTTGAAATCTTGAAATCGATTTTCTGCAGCATTACATAAATTTCACTTTACTACGTATATTACTTCATATATATGTATCCTAAAACATTGCCAAAAATTTTCAATAAAATACTCCTGAAATGCTTTTAAAATGCCCTAAAAACAAAGAACTATTCGTGCAACAAAATGGCACAGACTTTTTCGTATTACGTTTCTATTTCTTTTGGTCTCGGATATCTATTCGGACTTGCGACATACTTTTGCCAGCTGCCATCTAATGCCGCCCAAAGTACATTTTTTTTTTTTTTGAAAATTTCTCGGTTCGGTTACTTGATAGTAGAACGAAAATATTATTTTAAGAATATTAAAAAATAGTAAAACCTTGTCCTAAATGAAAATTTTCTCTGACGAATTTGGAGCTGCTATTAAGAAAAATGGCGTTTAAGCGCAACAGTAAATGCGAAATTTGAACTTCTTTTTACGGAAAACTATTGAGTTTCCGAAAAACATCATATAACTTAATTTCAATCTCTTCCAGTCACAAATGCAATAGAGTTTACATATTTCTGGAAATGTGCTGCAAACAAGCATGAGAGATAAACAAAATGCATTTGTGTAATTTTTGAAAAAACAAAAGAATACTGCGAAATTAATTCTATGTCATCTTAAACTATTTGTTCGAAAAGTTTGAAGAAAAAATTTGGGCGCAATTTATGAGAAAATGGCGTTTGAGCGTTTCTGAAAATGCGGAAGTTTGAGCAAATTTCAACAGAAAACGGTTGAGGTTTCGAGAAAATTCATTAAAATAATGTGAATAATACAATAATGTGAATAATACAATAATGTGAATAAACTGACCTTAATGTAAATTCTAACGACGCGAGAGACAATTAAAATTAATTACATTTTAATGGAGTTAAGTTTTAATTACATTTTTGTAATTAAAAAAAAACAAAAGAAGAGAGTAATGTTTATGCCATCGTATGGAGTTTATGCTATTGTATGGAGTGCATTTAATACTATTCCAACAAAAGTTTAAAGAAACAAATTTGCAGCACTTTTTGAGAAAATCTAGTTTTTGTAATTTTTTTAAAAATTGCACAAACTGCTCGCGACATTGCGCGAAAAAAAAACAATTCAATTAAAAAAATGTGCATGACCTTAATGAAAAAACTAATTATGAACACAAAATTTAATTGAAGGAGAAACCTCTATCTTCAGTTTTGTAGTTGTAAGAAGACGCCTGGAAAACTTTTGCAATTTTCAAAAATTCAGAGTAAACCGTGGAAATGTGATGTATGTTACCTTTGTAAGTGTATTTTACTCTATTCTCAAAATAAATTTAACGGAAAAATTGAAGCCGTTTTTGAGAAAAGTTTGAAAATGTCCGGAGGGAATCATGTAAGGTACCCCCAAATTTTGAAGAATTTTTTTCAAAGTCGTGGTGTCTCGAGTGGAGCCTAATCGACCGGAATATTCATTTTGGAAAAAAAATCATTCGTAGGCGCTAGTCATGTTTACGTATTGGATGACGAACGTTTTGGCGTCAATTGATTTTTCAGGATCAAAGACACAGGTATTCTGATTACATCACGTGTTAAAGGATTTTTTTCTTAATTTAGCAACTGGATTTATTAACTTTTTATTTATCTGGGTCCTGCAATTAATATTTTTCTGCCAAAAATCCGCGGTTTTTTCGTGCAGCATTACATAACTTTCCCTACACTACGTATATTACTTTGTATATATGTATGTATACGGGAAAGTAAAACGACAAAAAAATTATTAAAGCCACTTCAGGTGAACAACCTAAGCTGTTGGGTATATTAATGATATAACCGAGGCTTCTTCCTTTTATTCAAGTGAATTCAGTTTGCTAACGTTTGGTTTGGTCAGTACTTTAAAAGCAAATCTCTGCCTTTATTTATCGCGAAATCAGCAAAAATGACAATGGCGCCGATAGGCATTTCGAACGGATAGTGGTAATTGCACTCTTAAATACATGGTAACACTCATTTCGGTGTTTTTTTTTGTTTTTTTTTTCACCAAATATACATTTTTTGAAAGATCTCTCACGCCGTTGATATGCACATTTCGTGCAATTTGTAAATACTATTTCATTTTTGAGTTAAAGAAATTCAAATGACTTCAAATGAAGCTTTTCGAAAACTCAAAAATTTTCTGTGAAAAACAGCTTCATATTTCGAATTTACAGTACCGCAAAAATGCCAGTTTTTGTAAAACAGCTCCAAATGTTTCAAAGAAAATTGCCATTTAGGACGAGGTTTACTGTTCTTTAATAATCTTAAAATAATTTTTCGCTCTACAATTAGGAAAACGAACAATTAAGAAAATTGCAAAAAAAAAAAAAGAACGTTTTTTGGCGAAGATAGATTGCAGCTGGCAAGAGTATGTGGCAAGTCCGAGTAGCTCGCTGAGATCAAAGGCAATAGAAAACTAATACGGGAAAGTCTGTGCCATTTTGTAGCAGCACTAGTTTAGTTTCCTGTATAGTACGTATATACGGAGTAATATACATAGTACAGGGAAAGTTATGTAATGCTGCGGAAAATCGATTTCGCGATTTCAACGGAAATACACGTTTTGGGGTCCCTTAGTGCAGAAAAAGTTTTTTTTTCAAAACTTTCGTCCATCTATCCGTCCGTTCGTCTG